TGCTTTCCACTTCTATCTTCTTGGCCACCCTGCCTGTATTTTGATGAACCTCTGCCACTGGAGTTGGTATGTCCGCCTAAATGGCATTTCAGCATGGATTTCCCCAGGTGCCTAGCATCCTTTCCTAGATTAACGTGTCAGTGGCATATGGTGCAAATGGCCTGTCGTTCAGTTTCAGAATCAGTTTAAAATATCTGCCAGGCTGCTATCTCCTTTGGCATAATGCCTGTGGCCCCAGTGTTTGAGAAAGGAGAGCAACATTGTCTGAAAATTATTTAGAATGATTTTTTTCCTCTGATAGCCAGAATCTGGTTTCCTGTCTTTCCGCATTTCTCTCTCTCTCATTTCTTATCCCTGGTATCTGAGCAAAAGAAAGAAGTCTATGTTCTGATATTGAGTGCCTAGGAGCAGGGAAAATGTTGAGAGCAGCCTTTGGTGCATTGGTTCCTTTATTGTATTTATTTTGTATTTATGTATTTATTCATTTATTTATGTTTGAGACAGAGTCTCTTGTCACCCAGGCTGGAGTACAGTGGTGCGATCTTGGCTCACTGCAACCTCTGCCTCCCAGGTTCCAGCAATTCTCCTGCCTCAGCCTCCCAAGTAGCTGGGATTACAGGTGCACACCACCACAACTGGCTAATCTTTTGTATTTTAGTAGAGTCGGGGTTTCACCATGTTGCCCAGGCTGGTCTCAAACTCCTGAGCTCAGGCAATCCACCCACCTCGGCCTCCCAAAGTGCTGGGATTACAGATGTGCGTCACCACACCCGGCCATTGTATTGGTTCCTTTACAGGCTCTTTTTCCATAAAGGGGAGTATATTGCTTTTTCAAACACTGTTGCATTTTATTCTCTTAAAGGCCCCTGTGTAGGTATTAGCTCCATTTTGCAGATAAAAGAATTGAGGCTCAGACAATTTTCAATGTGGTGAAAGCATACTACAAAGACGTAGAAGAATAATAGTTCAGACCCAGGTTCTCTGACTTCACAGTCCAAAGTCTTTTCACTCTATTAAGTCCATGCATTGACCATTGTCTGAACTGATATTGTGCCCACATCCAAGCATCTCTGGGGAAGGGGATCTATTTTTACTGCAGTTCAACAGGCAGCGCTCACAGAAGCCTGCGTCTCTGTAGGCATTGTCAGCAAGTGCTCCTGGCTTCTTCTTGTACAAACTCCTCATCGTGCTCTTCTCTCAGTGTGTTTAATGGTGGGTCATTGTTACTATTTAGTTGCCTGATGGGTTTCTGGCTCCTAAATCCAAGTAACGAAGCAGATCCTGCTGTCCCTGGGATTATCCCCTCTTGATGAGTGATGACCTCAGGATTGGAGGCAGCCGACCTGCGGGCAGAGAGAGGGGGATGTCAAAGGTTCCTCCAGCTCAATTTGGATTGATGAACCAGAATAATTCAGGCAGCAGGGCTCGTGGAATTGGCCTCAACTGGCAATCTTTTTCCAGAACTGTTCTTTCTCAATTTTTGTATTTGAGGTGGAGTGTTTCTGCCAATTTCTCACTTACATCCTCTCTTTTCTACTACAGGTATTTGGAAAGCACCCTCACTCTCATCTATTGGCTGGATTCATTGTCTCCACAACACCAAACAATCGGATGGACCCCATTCACCAACTAGTCATTTCCACCTTTATGCTCTACTTTGCTAGAACCTTCCACTGAAAACACCTCACAGGTCTTTATTCTGTCATCAAAATTCTGTACCTGCTTCCTGTCCAATTCATCACCTTCAAGAAATCTCCAAATGAGTCTATCCAACTAATAGCTTCTTTATTCCAAATTCCTTCCAATGATAATAACAACAGTACTTCTTAAACATTTTATAATTGTTAATTTAAATAAGTAATATCAGGTGGCCCAACATTTAAATGTACACAGGGTATACAAATAATCAAAGTGAAAAGTAATTTGTGCTCTTGTCCCAGCTCCCTAGCTCCCAGCTCACAGGCACTCTGTGACCAGTTCCTTTTGTCTCCTTCTGAACCTTCCAGAGATACCGTTATATGTATATATACTTTTAAAAAATGTATCAACAATATATGAGAATAACTGTTAACATATATTAGTAATTATTATTATTATTTTTATTTTACTTTAAATTATAGGATACATGTGCACAACCTGCAGGTTTGTTACATATGTATACATGTGCCATGTTGGTGTGCTGCACCCAATGACTCGTCATTTACATTAGGTATATCTCCTAATGCTATCCCTCCCCCCTCCCCCAACCACATGACAGGCCCCGGTGTGTGATGTTCCCCTTCCTGTGTCGAAGTGTTCTCACTGTTCAATTCCCACCTATGAGTGAGAACATGCAGTGTTTGGTTTTTTGTCCTTGCAATAGTTTGCTCAGAATGATGGTTTCCAGCTTCATCCTTGTCCCTGCAAAGGACATGAACTCATCCTTTTTGGTGGCTGCATAGTATTCCATGGTGTCTATGTGCCACATTTTCTTAATCCAGTCTATCATTGATGGACATTTGGGTTGGTTCCAAGTCTTTGCTATTGTGAATAGTGCCACAATAAACATATGTGTGCATGTGTCTTTATAGCAGCATGATTTATAATCCTTTGGGTATATACCCAGTAATGGGATGGCTGGGTCAAATGGTATTTCTAGTTCTAGATCCATGAGGAATCGCCACACTGTCTTCCACAATGGTTGAACTAGTTTACAGTCCCACCAATAGTGTAAAAGTGTTCCTATTTCTCCACATCCTCTCCAGCACCTGTTGTTTCCTGACTTTTTAGTGATCGCCATTCTAACTGGTGTGAGATGGTATCTCATTGTGGTTTTGATTTGCATTTCTCTGATGGACTGTGATGATGAGCTTTTTTTCATGTGTGGGCAAAGGATATGAGCAATTATATAAGAGATGCCATGCTAAGCACTTTACATGTATTATTTCATTGAATCCTCCCAACAACTTTATCAGATGTATCCTCATATGATCCATATTTATAAATAAAGAAATAGAGGCTCAGAAAAGTTAAGGAGCTTACCTATGATCACACAGTGTTGTAGCAGAGTTGGAATTTGATCCCCGGCTGCCTGACTGCAGAGCCCAAGCTCCTAACCACTGTGCTACTTGCCTTAAAATGACTCTCTGATTGTCTCATATACGTATGCATCTGGTTTCCCAGCTAAATCAAAGAGTCTTCAAAAACAAAAGAAGCAGTGTGGGATACTTGGGAATCAAATCCCGGCTTTGAAACTTACTAGCTATGTGACTACAGGTAAGTTTCTGAAACTCTCTGAACTTCCATGTTCTCATCTGTAAAGTTAGAAAACTGCTAACCTCATTAGCATTAGAGGGAGGCAGGCGTGTTGTGATGATCAGGGGAGATAAAGAATGTAAAGCATCTGGCACATTAGACATTTGCAGAAATAGTAGTGACTTTCTCAAGAGCTGTGTCTTTTTAAAAATATATTTGCCTGCTTTAGCTACCCTGTGCAAGGTGGAAGGGTGCACAGGCAATCCTCATGTGATGTTTGACATAATATAAACCTGACCTTTCCAGTGGAAAATGCCATACAGAAGTCCCTGAAAGTAAATACAAGGCAACAGGCTCTTGTACCTAGGACCCATGGGTCTTGCTCTAGAGGGGATAGTTGGTCATTTGTTGGCTATTCAAAGAAATGTATGGAATAGTATACAAGATTGGCCTAATGGTCGTACATATTGTAAATCTTCACTGAGGTAAACAAGCATAAATGGAGTCTAAAGGGGAAAAAAAACTGAAGAAACACTGTCAGGAATTTTTTCTGGAACATTCTTCCTCCAGACACCCTCATGGTAACCCTTTCCCCTCCTTCTAGTCACCTCCTCAGAGGTCTCTCCTGACCTGCAACCTGTCCCAACTCCCACTTTATTTTTAATTTTTTCATAACACTTTGCACCTGCAGTTATGTAATATAATTATCTTGTCTTTTGCATATGTTTTTCATGGTCTGATTCCTCTAGAATGTAAGCTCCCTGAGGGCAGAGGCCTTGTTTTTTTCACTGATATATCCTAAGCCCTTCAAATAGTGTCTGGCACATAATGCCTGCTCAATAAATACCTATTGGAGGAATAAATTTTTCAGATAAGAAAACTGAGGTTAAGTGACTTGGCCTAGATAATTTTGCCAGTTAACAGCAGAGTTAAGACTAGAACTCAGTTTTTCTGCCTGCCAAACCAGTTGTCTTTCCATTAAATCGTATTTTTAAGGATGTAGGAGCATATATGTAGGATTGAGGAAAGATTTGATTATTGAGGAATCCAGAAAAAACTGGAAATGAGTGCATATAGACAAAATAACTGAAACATGAAAGTGACAGTAGGAAAAAAAAAAAGCCATAGATGTGGGTGGCAATGTTGATTTTTTTTCAAAATTTTGTTTAAGTACCTGAGACTCTGCTGTCAGTTTATCTAGTGAAATAAGATTCATGATCAATATGTGGAGACGGAAATTTCAGACCTCATTATACACAAACTGAAGATTATTCCTTTGCTGTCACTGTGGCATTTGACACACCAGTGAAAACAAAAGGAAATCTGTCTCAGATGCCCCTTTTAGCTTTGACAGATGTGGAAATGCATGAGTTTGGAGCGTAAATTTTTGGTTGGATGTTACATGTGAGCATGTCCCAAGATACAGCTAGAGAAACCACCACCATGTTCACAGTTGAGAGCCACAGCCCTAGTGATGAGCTGAATTTCAGTCCAGGATGTCTGCTCCCATCCCTACTTTGTTCTCTTATCTTGAAAGCAAAAGAGGCACTCTGTCTTTTCCCAGGCTAATCTTCCATCTGAGCTTTTGGTCTCATCTCTTTCTCCCATCACTTACCCCTCTTTCTTGAATCTTAAATCTATCTTTTCCCCATATGTGCAAACATGTTCAAATCTCCTCCATGCTAATGCAAAATTATAAAAATCTTCCAACAATCTCTTCAATCAGTAACCTACTGATGTAAAAGCAAAACACCCCAAAACAGTGGTTTCAAACAGAAAGAACTTTATTCACAAATTGATAAGTCATCTGGGCCAGGCTCAATTGGTCTCTATTGACTTCAGCTGGGCCTGAAACAGTGACTACACACCCTCAAGAGGGTGCAGTCAGCTGGAGGGGTCAGCTAGGGCAGGCTGGTCAAGGGTGAGCTCACTCGCATGCCTGACAATTAAGCAGGTTATTAGTTATGGTGAAGTCGGTGACTGGGACACTGGTCGCTTATCATCCAGCAGTTTAGCTCAGGCTTGTTCTCATGGTTGCTGGGCAGGATTTCAAGAGGCAGAGAGAGAAAGAGAGAGAGAGAGAAAGCAGAAATACAAGACCTCTTGAATTGGCACACCAGCAATTCTTCCTCATTTTATTGACAAAAACAATTCACAAGTCTAACCAAGGGGCAAGGAAATAGGCTCTACCTTTTGATGGGAGGAGCTGCAAAGTCACATCACAAAGGATGTGGATTCAGGGAGGGATGGAGAATTAGGGTCAGTTTTGTAATAATCCTACAATATCTCTCTTCATCCTTAAGCTTCAGCCTAGGTGTCTCCTTTCCTTCACATCCAAACTTCCAGAAAGGGTCATTATCACTAGCCTTGGCTACTTCCTTACCAACCAGTCACTCCTCACCCAAGATGACCTCATCTTACTTCTGCCATCTCCCTTTTGATGGAACTACTCTCTTTAAAGACAACAATGGATCAAATATCAAATACTATGAACTTTCAGCTGTTATCTTACTTAACTTTATTGCACAATTTGCCCTGTATGGCTATTTTCTCCTGCTTAAAACTCCCCTCCCTTACTGCCTGCATTCGCTCTCTCCTGCCTCCTTCTACTCCTCTGGCCATTGCTCCTCAGGTTCCATGGCTGGCTGGTGTCTGTCCTCTGGCTCATCAATGTTAATGTTTCTGTTGTCTCTTTTCTTTTCTTCCTTCTCATGTTAAATTCTTTCCAAAATCTAATGTAGTCAAAGGAATACCACCTATATTCATCTTTATTCTAACCCCCTTTTAACCTGCAGGTATAAAGTGTCAGTGCCTACTGGATATTGCCATAGGCTCCTCAAACATAACATGTGTCTTCAACTGAGTTTAATATCTTTCTTCCAAAATGTGATTCTGTCTTCACTTTCTTTGTTAACAGCTTTTCAATTATTTCAATTCATCAAGCTGAAAATGGAGGACTGTCCTTAACTCCTTCCAACCTCGACTTCATACAACCCAAAATATTAGGTCCTATCAATTCTACCCCCCAAGTATGTCCCAGAGTCACCCCTTCCTCACATCTATGCTGCTACCTGAGTTTAGACTGTCCCCCTCTGTTGCCCAGGCCAATGCAGAGCCTTTCATCTGCTGCCCTGACCCTCTTCTGCAACCAGAGATCTTCTGAAATGCAAATTGGTTATTCCTTTGCCTTATACGCTTCCACTGGCTCATTTCTGCCAAGATAAAAATCTAAACCCTTTGGAAAAAAAAAGTACTCCATCTCATTTTAAGAAAAAGAAGGTTTATTATCAGGAAATAGGGGATTCTCATGAAGCAAGAAGTACAGCCAGGCAGCAGGGGAGTTGTCAGGAACAGAGTCCCCCGTGTGCTGGCTTCTCTCTCACTGCCTTCAATATCTTACCTCTGCGTGTTTCTTTGACTTTACCCCATTCTCCTGAAGACTTTCCCACCCTGTCTCTCTCTGCTTGTTCATTTAATGCACATGGCCCCCTATACACATTCTTAATCCAAGCCTACCTAACCATCATATCTCTCAGAACAAATTATTGAGAAAGAAAATCTGATTGGCTTAGCTCTTGGGTCAAATGCTCAATTGGCTGTGACCATGAAGGGGTGAGGTTATATGGACAAAACGTGACAGCGGTGGAGGCCCACATCTTCAGTGGAAGCTGTAGGGAAGAATGTTCTCAGAGAAGACAGTGTGGGCTGGGCAGGCAACTCAGACAGGCCCATTCTATTCCTTAATGTGGCATATGTTATTTTTCTAGTATCATCTACCAAATTTTCTCCCACTGCAATGAACTATCCACTTCAACTACATAGAGCTACTCCCCATTCCCTACACACGTCATGCTGTTTTTCATATGGTATTCCCAATACCTGCAATATTCTACCCCCCTCAACTCTCTAGAAATCTCCTCCTTGTTTTTTATTTATTTATTTTATTTATCTAATTTTTTTTTTTTTTTTTTTTTTTTTTTTTTGAGACAGAGTCTCACTTTGTTGCCAGGCTGGAGTGCAGTGGCGTGATCTCGGCTCACTGCAACCTCCACCTCCTGCGTTCAAGCAATTCTCCTGCCTCGGCCTCCCAAGTAGCTGGGACTACAGGCACATGCCACAACACCCAGCTAATTTTTGTATTTTTGGTAGAGATGGGGTTTCACCAGTTTGGCCAGGATGGTCTTGATCAGGTTGAGCTCATGATCCACCCACCATGGCCTCCCAAAGTCCTTCTTATTTTTTAATATCCAATGTCGCCTATACTGTGAAGCCTCCCTTGCCCCTGTTAGTTGCTCTGTCTTCTAGGAATGCTTAGCACTTTGCACACTTAGCACTTTCCACTTACACTCTTAGAGTGTATATTATACCAAATTGAAATTGTTTGCTCCCTTTGCTAGATTATGGGCTTTTTTAAATTGGCAGGCACCATCCCCAGCATCTGCTATAGTGTTGGGCACATAGAACTGAATGAATTAAAATGTTAAGTGAACAGAGTTTCTAAATCAATTGTATTACTCCATTCTTACACTGCTATAAATAAATACCCAAGACCAGGTGCAGTGGCTCTTGCCTGCAATCCCAACACTTTGGGAGGCTGAGGTGGGTGGATCACGAGGTCAGGAGTTCGAGATCAGTCTGGCCAACATGGCGAAACCTCATCTCTACTAAAAATACAAAAAAAAATTTAAAAAATTAGCCAGGTGTGGTGGCATGCGCCTGTAATCCCAGCTACTCAGGAGGCTGAGGCAGACGAATTGCTTGAACCCGGGAGGTGGAGGTTGCAGTGAGCCGACATTGCACCACTACACTCTATCCTGAGTGGCACAGCAACACTTCATCTCTTAAAAAAAAAAAAAAAGAAAGAAAGAAAAAATACCTGAGACTGGGTAATTCATAATGAAAAGAGGTTTAATTGGCTCACTGTTCTGCAGGTCGTATAGGAAGCATAGCTGAGGAGGCCTCAGGAAACTTTCAATCACGATGGAAGGGGAAGCAGGTACATCTTCACACGGCTGGAGCAGGAGAGAGAGAGAGTAAGGGGAAGTGCTATACACTTTAAAACAACCAAATCTCATGAGAACTCACTCACTATCATGAGACCTGCAAGAAGGAAATCTGCCCTCATGACCCAATCACCTCCCACCAGACCCCTTTTCCAACATTGGGGATTACAATTTGACGTGAGACTTGAGCAGGTACAAATCCAAACCATATTGCCAATGGTTCCCCAAGTGTGTTCCTGGATCATTAGCATCAGCATCATCTGAGAACTTGTTAGAAATGCAAATTCCTAGGCCCCTCCACAAACATACTAAATAAAAAAAACTCTAAGAGTAGAAGTGGTAGGCACAACCTTGTCTCTTGCCCCCAGATGTCTATGTCCTATTCCCTAGGACCTGTGAGTATGCTATGCTACATAGCAAAAAGGAATTAAGGTTGCAGATGGAATTAAGATGAGTGATCAGCTGATTTTAAAATAAAGAGTTTATCCTGGATTATCCAGGTGGGCCTAATGTTATCAAAAGGGTCCATAATGGGGAAGAGGGAGATGGAAGGGTCAGAATCAGAAAGATAACACCATGAGAAAGACTTGATCAGCCACTGCTGGCTTTGAGGATGGAAGGAGGCCACTAGCCAAAGAAGGCAGGCAGCTTCTAGAAGCCAGAAAAGGCAAGAAAACAGATTCCCCTAGAGTCTCCAGAAAGGAATACAGCTCTGTCAAAATCTTGACTTTTGTCGAGTAAGACCCACTTTAGACTTCTGACCTCCATAACTATAAGATAACAAATTGTTGTTGTTTTAAGCCACCCAGTCTGTGATAATTTGTTACTGCAGCAATAAGATACTAATACAGTAGAGCCCAGCAATCTGTGTTCCAACAAGCCTTCCAGGTGATTCTGAAATTTCCTCTCACTATGCACTGTAGCACCAGGTATTAAACTGACTACATTCTTCATCCTTCTTTCTTGTGTTTGCTTGTTTGACTGTCTCTGTATGTTCACCACTGTATCCTTGCCTACTGCTGGCACTCAGTAGTAATAATAATGGTAGTAGAAGGAGTTACAGTAGCAGCAGCAGCAAATGCTTGTTGAGAATGTCTATGTGTAAAGTGTTACTCTAAGCACTTTACATGACTTAACTCAGTCCTTGTAATAGCCCTGTGAAGTAAGTGATATTACCATATTTTATAAATGAGGTAACTGATGTCCAGAGAAGAAAAACAACTTTCCCAAGATCCCCTAGCTAGTAAGTGGAACAGCCAGACCTCAAACTCAGTCTCACTTAGAGCCCCTACAATGTGCTCTGTAGGCAGAGTACAACATATGTTGGATAGGTGAACGAATGAATGAATGAATGAATGAATGATAAACAGTAAGTTGAACTTGAGGACTTTTTATTTTTGTAGATTTAGAGGGTACATGCACAGTTTTGTTACTGGATATATGTGTAGTGGTGAAGTCTGGGCTTTTAGTGTAACCATCATTCAAGAAGTGTACATTGTACCTGTATTAGTCCATTTTCACACTGCTATAAAGATACTACCTGAGACTGGGTAATTTATAAACAAAGGAGGTTTAATTGATTCACAGTTCCACATGGCAGGGAGCAGGGGGGCCTCAGGAAACTTACAATCATGGCAGAAGGGAAAGCAGACACCTTCTTCACAAGGCAGCAGGAGAGAGAAGTGTGAGCACAGGAAAAACTGCCACTTGCAGATCCATCAGATCTCTTGAGACTCACTATCATGAGAACAGCATGGGGGAAACTGCCCCCATAACCCAATCACTTCCCTCCCTTGACATGTGGGGATTACACGTGGAATTACAATTCAAGATGAGATTTGTGTGGGGACACAGAGCCAAACCATATCAGTACCCAATACGTAATTTCTCATCCTTGACTTCCTTCCCACTCTCCCACCTTTTGAAGTCTCAAGTGTCTCTTACTCGACTCTCACCTGAGGACTTTAGAAACTTTGGAAAGGAACAGTGGAGCTCTAAAGGAATATCATCCCAGCACTGATTCAGAGGAGTGGGGAGAAGACACATGCTTCTCTTGCATGGATGTCAAACAGAAGACACAGGAAAGCAACTAGAACAGGAGTGGAAAACAGGACTGGCTGAAGACGGCAGAGTATAGGAGTGGAGAGGGTGCACCCTGGGTAGGAACTGTGCATGGCTTCCTGAAATGGGGGAGCCAAGAGGTTTTTTTGTTTGTTCGTTGTTTGAGGTGGACTCTCACTTTGTGGCCCAGGCTGGAGTGCAGTGGCAAGATCTCGGCTCACTTCAACATCCACCTCCCAGATTCAAGTGATTCTCCTGCCTCAGTCTCCCGAGTTGCTGGGATTACAGGTGCATGCCACCACACCCACCTAACTTTTTGTATTTTGAGTAGAGATGGGGTTTCACCATGTTGGTCAGGTGGTCTCAAACTCCTGACCTCAAGTGATCCACCTACCTTGGCCTCTCAAAGTGCTGGGATTACAGGCGTGAGCCACCCGGTGCCTGGCCAGCAAGAGTTGAAGGCTAACAGGAGAGGCAAGGCTGGAACTATATTCACCACAGTATCGCTAGCCTCTAGTCTAGGCCTGGAACCTCAGAAACCCAGCGCCTGAATATCAATGTATCTTTGTTGAGTAAAAGAGAATTTTAGTGTGAAATTGTTCTGGGCTCTTCAGACATTCGTTTCAAGATGTCTGAGGAAGATCTGTGATTAGGTTCAGCAGACCTCTCAGTAGTAATGCAGACACTATGAGGGGAAAGGCCGATTTAAAAATCAACACACTGGAGGAGCTGGAGGCACAGGGAGCATAGACAGAATGGGTTCTGGTAAGTGGTCAAGACCCAGTGTCCAGGGAATGTGGCTATTTTCAGTCAGGTGCCTCACTGAGCAAGGGAATTGTAGCATTTATTTAGTGCCCATTGTGAGTCAGCCGTGGGACTAGGTGTTTTCCTTCCTTGAGCTCATTCGAGCAAAGTGCCCCAATATGTGAGGTGCGAACAGGAAGAGGAAAACAAGGGAATGACTCAGAGCCCAGGTTGGCAGACAGGGCCAAGGCCATCTCTCCATAGGGGACAGGTTCAACCTATTGGGTCGGTCCTATGGCAGGGTCCAGGCCCCAGGGAGAACTGCCTTAAACAAAGCAGGGCCATAGGGGTCAAGACATATGCCAGAAACAGAATGAAGGCTAGCTGATGGCACAGAGCATAGCCAGAGGCAAGGGGCAGAACTAAGTTTACGGAAGGAGAAATAACCCCAAAGTGCAGTGCACAGGGATGAGACACTGCAGTCAGGGAGGGAAGAGGTAGAGCTGAAGTCAGGGGAAATTCCTAAGAGAAATACTCATGATCAGAGTTCCTACAGTTACAAAGCTAAGTAGGTAAGATTTCTTAACATCAATGAAAGTGATGGTGAAGAGCCACAGAGTCACGTGCTTTGCCCAGGTTGAGTTCCTGACCCACAGATCTGTAAGCATAATACTTTATTGTTTTATGCCACTAAGACTTGAGGTAATTTGTTTCCTCAAATTACAGTTACTTCACCATTACACAAATATCCAGTAACAAAATGTGCATGTCCCCTCTAAATCTATAAAAATAAAAAAGTTAAGTCCTCAGGTTAGACTTACTGTTTATTATTCATTCATTCGTGAATTACACAGTTACCCCAGATTTAATTCCTAGAGCACCTATTTTCATAAATTTTAGTTTCATTTTCAAGATAAGGTTCGAGTCCAACCTCTTTTTTTTTTTTTTTAATACGGGAGAACTTGAGAACCCATTTTAAGTGGAATTACAATAAGTGACCTTTTTCTAGTATCAAATTTCCTGCAATACTTTGCAGGGAACACTGTCTCAAACCCCTTGGCTCTATGTCCTATGGCAGGTAGAGAGATCAGTGGGCCCAGCCACTGGGAACCCTGGGAAGCCAGGGGAAAATAGATGGGTTTGAGTTAACTGCAAAAGGCCTAGAACTCAGTGTTGCATGGTCCTGGGATGGTGTTGTGGAAAGAGGACCACATTTGGTGCCAGATGGTACACTCGATAATTATGTGGTATTGGCCAAGTTACTCTACTTTTCTGAGCCTCAGTTTCCTCAGTTGTATCATGGGACTACTAATCTTCCCTTCCTGGGCTGTTTTACTGCTCACAAGTGATAATCTATGTAAAGTAGTCACCAAAGTTAGTTTCCAACTGAGGATGCCACTCCTACTATGAAATCCACTTTTATTAATGTGAGAAGGATTACTTTTTAAATCATAAAAAACAAAACGAGATAAAGTCATGTTCAAGTTTCACAGTTTCACTTCTTTTCTTCTTTTTCAGATCCTTCACCTTATTATTTTACTCCTGCCTATGTGCAGACCGTATTTTGATATCCCTATGCACGGGATAATAAATAGGATTCTTCTTGAGCACCAACTCCATTGAACTACTTGGAACTCTTGAGAAGAATTCTGACACTGAAACCAGACTCATTACAAAATGGTGCCATGATCTACTGGTGATATATGCTTAGGAGAGTTGGGTAGCATCACTATTGCCCACTTTTTATCAACTCTGTTATATCTTTCTCCCAGACACACTCATTGTATTCTCACTTCCCACTCCCCAGAGGAGTCGGATTTTTAGAAGCACAGAGTCTAAGTATAGTCTAGGATTCATATATCCCTAACGACTTTTTAGCTCTTTCCATGTTAAATAGAGTGCTGGGTTGCTGAAGTTCACACAAGTCAAATTATTTGGCTTAGATCACACAGCTAGTAAATATGAAAACCAAAATTGAAAGCTGATCTCTCCGATTTTGAAGCTAGAGCTGTGTCTTTAGTAGGCTGTCCCCTTCAGTGGCAACAATCTCTCAAAGTAGGCCTGGATCCAAGTGTAACCTAGGGCTTGTTCTAGGGATAGGGATAGAGTTCC